GCTTGGACATACGACCGTACAATAGACAAATCCGAAGTGCAACTGGGCATGCACTTAAGATCCATGGTTGGTTCACTGTCCCACTTACTATTCACGGAGTGGCTTTTTTCCCATGACATGCTGGTTACCGACCTGACTAGTAACCCTTACGAAGGCGTTCTTGGTGAAGACTTTCTGGAAGCTCATGGAAGTACAATTAGTTACAGATACCAGAGCTTTTCAGTGTCAGACAACTGCACGACAACAATGGTCTCCATCGACATCGGACAGACTAGACCTACCATCCATTCAACTACGAGTGTCGGCAGCTTAGACGGTATCGATATCTATAAGAGTAATGCTGTATTTTCAGAGGCTGAAAAGCAGCATTTAGCTAATAAGGGAGCCTGTGTCGGGGACATTGACGCTTTAGATATAAGTTCCAAGGATACCGGCGTCGGTGACGCTGATGAATTAATTTTTAAGATTAATTATAAGAGTAATGCTGTTTTTTTAATGTCCGAAAATCAGTATTTAGATAAGGGAGCAAGTGTCGAGGACGCTTATGCCCTATCTAATAATACTATCGGTAAGGGAGACTCCGTTGCTTCAGCGCCTGATGAACGCCCTGAATACGTCATCATAACCATTGACGCTGAAGACAATGATGTCGATGAACCCCCAGTTTCATAGCGAGGGCTAACTGAGAGGTCTCCTCCGCCTTCACCCACCTTGCCGTTTGAAAACCATGCGTTGCTTGGGTATGTAACCTGTGAGGTTCCCCAGGAACCTCACGGCGCGCATGAAGACCCATCGAACATTGCGGTTGACGATCGAGCAGAGATTTGGCCACAAACGCGAGGAAAACAAGAGAAACTGCTCAGTCTTATCGACCTTGTCCATTTACACCATGACCTTAAGACGCAAATTCAAAAGTTAGAAATGGAGTTTGAGGGCATTTGTCTGTATGGTGAACGAAAATTTGGCGTTACCGACCTCGTTCAACACGTCATCGAGGTAGAAACCGAAAAGCCGATTTCCAAGGCACCTTATAGAGCCCCGCACGCTTATAGGGTCAATATCGATGCAATAATTGATGAGCTATTAGATCAAGGGATCATAGAAAAAAGCGAAAGTGCTTGGGCAAGCCCCCTATTCCTGGTGAGCAAGAAACGGGAAGAAGGGAAGCCCCCAGAATTTCGGCCTGTCATCGATTACAGAGCACTTAATAAGGTGACTAAGCATCAAAATTTTCCTCTCCTTTGATCAGTGACTTGCTAGAAAATGTTTCAAATTCCACTGTCTATCGCTCCTTGGACTGCTTTTCTGGTTTCTACCAAGTCCCTTTACATCCTGACTCCCAGGATTTGACCACTTTCGTGGCGCATCGGGGAGCGTATCGCTTCACTCGATTATCTTTTGACCTCCGCAATGCTCCAACAGCCTTTCAACGATTAATTGAGAAAGTATTCGGCGATATCCGTGAAAATATTCTTTATTACATTGACGATATCTTTAGACATGACACAGACGAACAGACTCATCTTGAAGGACTACGACAGATTTTTGAGCGCTTACGAGCAGCAAAATTAACATTGAAACCTTCGAAATGTAAATTCTTGGACGAAATTGACTTTCTCGGTCACCGCATTGGCAAGAGCCCCAACAGACAAAATTCGATGCCATTGAAAACTACCCCAGATTGACTACATTTCGCCAAGTTCAACGTTTCCTTGGTTTCGCCAGTTACTATCGAAACTTCATTCTAAAATTTTCTGAACTTGCTACTCCGCTCACTGACTTGACCACAAAGGGAATCCCTTTCAACTGAACCAGTACTACTCAAGATGCTTTTGACAGACTTCGCAAAGCCCTTACTTGCTATCCTGTCCTCAGAATCCCTGACTTCAATGAAGAATTTTTTCTCGAGGTCGACACCTCCTGCATGGCCATAGGCGCAGTGCTGTCGCAGAAGTTCCCAGCGGGGAGCACCCGGTTGCTTACGCCAGCAAAAAGCTAAACAAGGCGCAGCAATCTTACTCGGCGGTACAATTGGAAAACTTTGGGGGGTACTTCATGATCAAGAAACATCGATTCTATCTTCTTCCTAGACATTTAAACCTCCAAACAGATCACTCTGCCCTTAAATACCTTCTAACAACCGCTTCACCACCCCCAATGTTAGCTAGATGGTTCGCAGAACTGTCCGAATATAGTTTTACCGTGGAGCATAGGCCAAGGAAATCCATCCCTCAGGTGGATGCTTTAAGCAGGATCCCTTCAGTTAACGTTATCGCGCATGTTCCCGACCAACTTCCGGTACCTTGGGATAAACTCAGAATACTTGAGGAACAACAGAACTGCGCAGAACTGGAGTACTGGCACCAGTTGGCAAGGACTGGCACTGAAAACTACTTTTACGACGAATATGGCCTCCTATGTAAATGCCTGTTCAGCGCGCATGGAAAAACACCTGTCCTCTGCGCACCACGTGTCATGGTTCTTTACGTACCAGAAATGTGCCACAATAACATCCTGGCCGGCCATACTGGCATCTTAAAAACCGTACAACTCATTACAAAGAGTTTCGATTGGCATAGGTTATTCGCGGATGTTCGAATTCATGTGACACATTGTCTCACCTGCCTGAAGAGAAAAGCAAAGAAACCGGACATAGCAATACATCGTCAGTGAGGTGCAGAAGAGTGCAATTGTACTCCTCTTATGAAGAAAAAACACTTTTCATAATATTGAGAAATTAATCGATTAAAAGTGCTTTCGATTTGATTTCCTACACGTTTTTAGCGTTTAGTAGCTCAAGAATTAGGCATGTCTTACTCATATACTGGAGTATTTATTTTGAAATGAAAGCAATTGCGTTTTTTGTTAGCAAATTAAACACATTTAATTCAACTTTCTCATTTGAAAGTAAGATAATAAAAGGAGCATAACACGCGATAAAGAGAGAGGGTGAGGAAACAAGAGCGTGAGAGTTTGACCAAATTAATTTGGTTAAAAATGTCAATTGTGACGAAGGAAGGAAGGATGAAATAAAAAGCTACACTAATAAAGCAAATTAGACGTTCTTATCTTTACGAGATTTTTGATTAAGAAAAGATCCACTCGTGAAGAGTTTCTACGGTTTGTTGAATTGAATACCAGCAATGCTGAAACGATTACCGACGAAATAGATGATTTACTGAAGAGTGAAGGTTTCTATCCGGAGAATTTCGTCACACGGGGTTATTGTAGTGACCAAAATTCAAACACCAAGAATTTGTCAATCACGTTTTTATTACAAAGATCCACAATACAAAATTGTACCAGTGACAAGCGAATGACTCTAAAAATGGCACAGGACTCATTTTCAATGAACTCTCTGAATTTTCGAAAATGACAAATGTTATAAATTATACGCGAAATATGTGAATATGTTGTACATATTGCCATTAGGGGAAAATGTAGAAAACGTGAAAAAATGTATTTTAGATGCCGCTAGATAGCAGCTGAAAAGAAGGTAGGAACAAGCCTACCCTCTAGCAGCTAACACTGAGAAAACGGTTTTGTTAACTAACCAGTACGAGAAAGTCTGTACCATTCTGTCTCACGAATGTTTACAGATAACAACGTAATAAAATAAATTGCATTATGTAGGAAGTAAAATATAATACTTTTAAAAAATAATAGTTTACAGTTGCCGTTGTACTTGCTACAGTATCTAATGGAATTATAAGTTTTGTAGCAGTAAGTATCTTTAATGAATGCATTTGAGTTTGTAATGTCGATTGATGCGTTGTATTGACGAAGCGTTCTAAACCACTGTCTGTATGGCATGCAAATACTGTTATTTGCACCCTTCCACTTCACCAGGAGTGCACTCACGAAGCGGATTGGTTTTTCACCGCATGCAACTGGTTACTCGCTTCGGACAGGTTCTGCCAGATGAGACCGGGACATCCTCTGGATGTAATAACCTTTAATATCAGTAGTTATTTTACTCCATCATTCTGAACCTGTTGGCAAATGATGCGAACCTAGATGTTTTCCTGATATGTTTGCAGCATTCTTTACTGTTTCATTCACCCAGAAAAGTTGCAAAAAATGACATGTTCAGCTTCTCAATTGCATTTCTAGAATGTTGCATGTATGGCTTTTACGCACGTCTTTTTCACGATTGTTGCCTAGCATCGAAAACATGGAACTCAGATAATGATCTCTAGCGATGTTTTGTAGCTGAAACTAATATTTTTCAATGAAGTCTACGTCTGGATAACCTTGTATTAGGATATTCCTCCCGTCCTATTCATCCAATATCACTATCGATATTATTTTTTAGATAGACACTTGGAAAAGCGGTTCTTTTTGATGTATGTATAGCGTGCTAAAAGTTCAGTTTTTAGCGCTAACGCTAAAAGCGAGATTATATGTATGTTTGCATGTGTGTGTGTCGTCCTTTTATCCCTCATTCACGTCATATCATCTTCCATACCCCCAAGGCTAACAATCCTGGGGAATAAAAATCAGACTCAGCTAAATGCTAATCCTCAGTTAAAGTTACATGCACCTGCCACCGAGATAATGTTACTAAGCCCTGGTAAATGCAGATTGCATGCACGCGTAGTACAATTTGGCTTTTTCGCGAGCAAAACAAAAAAACTACAAACAAACAGGCTTAACACAGAAGAAGAGAGAACTCTCAGGGAGGACTACTCAGAACGAGTTTGTACCGTTTTGTCACTTAAAGTCCACGAAGTTTTTGACTTGTTTAAAAGTAATTTTCGTATACCTATAAAAATTAAAGTTATCGATTATGAATTATTTTCCAGCACATGGATAATGACACTGAACCCACTGCTTCCGCAGGGAAGAATATCACGCTACGTCACTAAAAAATATTACCTGGAGCGGTGAGCTTTTTCGGCGCTACTTCGCCAGTGCTACTTGTTTTGCGAGATCTTAAGTACCTGTTTTAACGAGATAACTACCAGAGTATATAAGAGAATCTTAAGTTTCTATTACAGATTGATTGTGCTGCCAAGTTGTCATGCCTCTTCCACACAAAAGTGTAACCTGTTTGTTAGTGTTACTGCTGTTCACACTCGGTGCAATAAATGCTGTTGGTTCAGAGAGGACGTATTTTCGTGAGTACCAATATTGAAAAGATTTCACTAATTTTGTTTTATGGCTTCAATGTAACATTTTTCTATGCCTCGTTTGACTTTATTACAAATTATAATCGTTTTTATCTAGTGTACCTAATGTTTAAGACGAAAACATTCAGAGTATTAATTGTATTAACAATTTTTTCCTTTGACTCATGGCGCATGACATTTCCTTAGACAATTCACAATAATGTGTTAGTAACGAGCATTTTCAATAATTTCGTACATGAAATTTATCTTTCTGTTTTCAAATAAAATAATTGATATGTTAAAATTGTATTTTTTGCAGCCTCGGATGTAACAATATGCAGTACAAAAGACCCCAATTTTAATAAGTGTTTCACCGACTCTGCAAATAAAATGCTAAAACATCTCTCTAAAGGTAGGTTTGATTTACACTACGCATTTTTAAGTTGTTATCTAAAATACGTACTGACAGTGGGATTCATGGGGCTTGGTCACTGAAATGAATCGGACTATGCAGTTGTGTGCCCGCGTTTCAAAAATATATTTTCATTATAATGTACAAAATCGAAATACCAATGCACTAGATCATAAAAGCTATAATGTGAACTAACCAAAAAGCACAATAACGCGATAATTAACAACTTAAGTGTACTTTTTCTCATATACCGTAAAACATGGAAAGAAAATAGTACTAATATATGAGAAATCTGAGTATGAATGAGTGGTTTACAGTATTGTTTGCACTCTCTACTAAGTATTACGGGCCTTCTTCGAAGGCTGTTATTATGAAGTTATTTGTATCTCCGTCAATTCAAAATTTTAAGATTTCTGCAACATTTTGTATTGCAAAACTGAAAGAACATTTATAATTACTGTTATCATTATAATAGATATAATTTTCACCTAAGCACCTCAGCATGGGTTAAAGTTCAACAGATATTCAGGCATATCCCATCTAGAGTTTAAGTTGCTCAATATCGTGCAAAAAGCGAGGTTATAAGGATAACGTTATTTCGAGCTTCGGCAAATTATTATTATTATTTATGGAATAATAAAATTTTTTAATAAACATCATTCTAACTAATGAACATTATTGATTAGCCTATTAATTTACTGACATAATTCTGATCTCTCATTTTAATGGGGCATTATTAATTTCAGGTTCACGCGAACTGAACGCTGTGCCAATGCAGCCCCTTCGAGTTCCATTAATGAGACTTCGAAGGAACAACAAACTTCTACCTACACTGGCTTTCAATTTTACTAACACGATTCATGAAGGCTGGAAGGACGCTGTTGTGTTACGTTCAAAGTAAGCAAAACAATCCTTTCTCACTTTTCAATGCGAGGTCGAAGTGCGTTGTGATTCAGTTTTGTGAAAACTCATGTTTAAGTTAATTTTAGAGTATTTTTGTAACATACTTGTAACATATATATATATATATATATATATATATATATATATATATATATATATATATATATATATATAAGCAAGTTTTGGTGTTCCTGAATGCTAGATGCCCAGATCACTAGAGCGCTGTACGTTCCGGGCGAGGGTGTATTAATGACTTGCGTCTGTTCGAATCTTCATCTAAAACCGTGCTTAGATCTTACATGCCTGTGGTGATGTCGGAGGGAGAGGGCGGGTAAAACAAACTGTGAATCCAATCAGATTTTATGACAGTTATATATGGAATCACTTTGTTGTACAGAGAGAGAGAGAGAGAGCTGCGACCTTTGGTTGAGGGACCATGACAATTTCAGTTGTGCTTCTTTTCGCTTTTTATTGTGAGTTTTCCTTGGCGAATGGTACATAGTAAAATGATAAATAGAAAATTGTTCTGGTCAAATAGAATGGTAAACAGAAAATTAATCTGAAATCGTCTGAGAAGAAGGCATGATGATGTTTCTGTACTTTCTCAATAGATGTCGTGTAGTTAATTAAAATTCAATGCAGTTTAGTTATCTCACATATTACTGGGAGTATAAAGTTCCCCGTCAACATCTTGGCTAACACGGACGGATTGTTTAGTGAAAAAATTACTTTCAGTTAAAATGTCGATCTGGATATCTAACCAGATTGATAATGAATTATAAATTCGGAAAGATACGACCTGTGTCTATTACAGATTTCTCCAGAAGAATCATGATTTGACCATCACTGTTTGAATGTAAATTTGCATTATGTTATCAAATTTAATTACCATATAATGAACATTGAAAATAAACAAAAAGATTTCCAAACATCAAAAGTTAATGGACCGTAATTTAGGTGTAACACATTTTTCTTTACAGTATAAAGCCTAAAGACCGGGAATTCAACATGATCATCAACATTCCACGATACCGCTGGCATGGCTTGTACGATGTAACTGGCAGTATAACTGGCATCCCCATGGAAGGCTCTGGGAACATGGATTGCACATTCAGTAAGTACATTTTAATAATTCGGCTTTCTAACTGACGGGTTGTGTATATTCTGTCTTCGTTTTCTGTCGTGTCGTCCTATTCTCCCGGGTTCCCAGATGTTCCCTGCCGGTTTAGACTGGCTTATTTTTTAGGCGCGGCCACCAAATTTTCACCATCTAATAACGCCCGAGTATACACACTCAGTGTTAATGCTACATCCGCAGGCCTTCAGGTTCATATTTAACGCTCATATATATGAAGGGTTGCGTCAGAGATGGTCATAAGCCAAAAAATCATTTCTTTATAGAAGAGAATTTTGAAACAGTGTATCGAATACATTTTTAACCTTGACGCAGAGAACAATATTGGCTTATAACTTCTTTATTTGCTACTGGATATCAGTTAACATCAAAAATTCCCAAACATCCGCTGGAAATCCTCTACCAATAAGATAAGTGAAAACTGTCATGGCTTATGACTATCTCTGACGCAACCCTTCATATGTTTATGACTTTGGCTGTCGTGATGGTCAGCATGCTGGAATCACTGGTTCATACTCCTTTCCGACCCTGCCTACATAAATGTGTAGGAATAGGTATACTCGCAAGCCACACAATTTTGCAGATATTAGGATTTTTGTTTGTTTTTTTTTCTCATAAATGCGTTCTTTCTTCTGACCAGTTCACATCGTTTGTGTAGGTCGTTGAAAATATGAGGTAACGGTTTTTTTCTTGTACGAACTTGCGTTTCGCGGTAGTAAAATTTTATCTTTGAGTAAGGCAGACTAAGAAAAATACTTAGGACTATAGGACATAATTTTTTTAAAAAAAATCTTGGTCTGGAAAGGACATGGACTCGACTTACGCCGGTTGAAGCCATGGGGTGGATGAAAACAAAATATTGTATTCTCATGTCGTTTTTGGAAAGGAAATACGTACGTCCTATTTCTTTCATTCACGCCGAGCTATAAACGTTGTTGACTAACACTAGTTTCCGAGCAAAATTTGAAGGACGTTTCTGCTCAGGGGATATGCGGATTTCTAGGCCATTGCTTGAGATATCTAGCCCGGTCGTGTGTTTCTCTATTCTGTTAATACCTTTTCAAGACGACATGAGCCCGCGGACTATTCTTGTATAGAAAGTATCTTGCATTCTTATATAGACAGAATACAGAAAGTTATAGCAGAATAAGGAACGCAGGCTACACCACGTGATTAAAGGGAGAAGTTGGTATATACTACGGTGACTGCACCAAGAGTACGATGCGGTTTCAACTGAGAGAGGCGTCTGGAAACACGTCGGGATTAAGATTTCACAGGGATCTAGAGAGTTTAGCTCATGACCGAATGCTGTTTTAAATACTAACTTACAGGGTCCCTGTCACACAGCGAATTTCGCAATGAAACAAACTTAATTAATGAATTAGTGAATAATGGCGAGATCGTGATATATATATATATATATATATATATATATATATATATATATATATATATATATATATATTTATAGTAGTAGTATAACTTAGTATAACTTATTTCGCAACGAAGAAGATGGCAAATGAATATGTTGCAATATATTTAATATCTAATAAAGTGTATAGACCCTTTAGGTCGAGAAATTCGTAATGAAATTGCATTAATACATAATTTCTTCACTCTTTTATATCGTTTCAATACATTTCTGCTGCCTAAATCTAAGAAAAAAGCTCATTTCCATACTATTTAATGTATTTGGGACTTTGAAATAAGTTGGATATTGGTCAGAAATTTCATCATGGATCAAATCAGATTTTTACAAACTTTTAAAGATATAACAGAAGATTTTTTGTTGCGTTACATCTCTGTATGCTCAGAATCAAAGGAATTACGTACCCTTAGTAAAAAATAAGTTATGTAATAGTGTGAATATGTATCATGAAATTTCTGGAAAAAGACTCGTTTCTGGGATTCGTGGCGCGACTATTTTGTGGAATGCTTTCTTTTCTACACACGACGCAGAATTGTAGTTTGATTTGTCATTTCGACCATTACATCGTGGCTTTCAGAACGAAATTGCCAATGTTATCCCGCTTTTAATATCGCAACAATACGACACCACTCGCCGAAGGTCTGTAGACCAAGAATGAACATTACATGTCAAGTCTTATCTTTATCTAATTTTGGTGATCTTTTCTCGCAGTCAATATGACGAACGATATCCACATGCGAGGTCATCTGAAAGAACGCAACGCACAGGAGTTCTTTGTCATAGATGATTTCCGGCAGAAGACGACAGTTGACAACTTGATGCTGAAATTCGACAACCTTTTCAACGATACTAAGCTATGTGAGTATACATTGATATATCAAGGAGAATGATTCGATACAGTTCCTCATTAGACGTAACACACATGCATCATCATCCTTGCCCGCGACGGACTTCTGTCTCGCAGCCTATCGAGCCGAATTGATTGATTGATTAGTGATTCCAGGTACGTCAACTGCTAAAGTCATAGTAGTTCCCCAACGGTTCCTGTATGTGTAGTGCATCTTTTCATTGCGTGAAGTGGCGGTGATATTCCCCGCTGGTTAGCGAGACCCAGCGCTGACTTACCCGTCGGCATCCGAGATGTTTCCTCCAACCAGGTATTTCCCCAGCAGGGCACCACCCCATCCGGAACAATCTCTAAGCTTCCGACCGGTCTCCAGGCAAATGTTGTAGGATAGTGCATGTAAGAGTTACAGTATGATGAAGATAGGACGAGGAAGGGAAGATCGCGCGCGCTCCGTGGCCCGTTTGTTAGGCTCTGTACCGGAATTCGCCTGGTGTTGATAGGATAAACTAAGGAAAACTACCGATAAGAACAACCGTCCGCTAGGATTCTCCTCCAGGCAGTGTCTGAATTTGCTAAGTAGCTAAGCTAAGTAGAACCTAATTTAGTCTAAAATCCTACCGCGTCGTGAGTGGAACCCGAGAATCTCCTGGTCAGAGGCACTGCAGTGACATCAGTTGATGCCCTGAGCCACCTCAGCCGTTGCAGCGGAGTTGGCTCGACGATCTAGGCTCCTCAAGACGGTGATGTATTCTCTTAGTTTATCCATTACTTACAGCTTTCCCTGTGACTGACCGAATATGGCATTCACTTAGGACGGGATCTGTCAGATTATAAGTTTTGTCGGAATATGTCAGTAAGTTTTGTGTTTCTAGAACGGCATGCGTTACGATTGATTGTATGTTCTTAGAAAATCTTCTGTTTGCCAGGCTTCTTTTGCGAACTCGGATTTTGAGATTATGCTTGTCCATGCCGTTATCTACCATTTTTAAAAATTGTCCTGCATATGTCACACTAGAAAACAAGAGAAGGGGGAAGAGGGGTAGGGGTAGGTAGAAGGTAGAAGCTGAACTCTTTCTTCTTTTCTTGCTTTCTATATTTCTTTCGTTCCACCTACCTTTCTTTCTATCATTCTATTTACTTTTTTCTGTCTTTTTTTCTGTCCTTTTTTCTATTCTCTCTGTCTTTCTTTGTTTCTTTCTACCCTTTCCCTTTTCTTCACACCTATATATTTGAGAAATAAAATTAATTTTCCTACGAAAAAGTGTATAATGGATTGCACACGAAAGTGCATAAAATGTAATTAAAGTTCTCTGCTAAATTCTGTCAATGATTTAGTTCTTTTCTTGCATCTTGCTATCGTTCACACTGGTCAACACACAGGGAGCACGTGCGGTCTTCTTTCACTTCGTGGTGATGTGAGGTTGCGCAGATTTTGTCATGAAACCCATGAGTCGCCAGACTTGTGATCACGTGTCTTCATTCCTGGTTTGTTTCGGACCATTTTCATTTCATCATGGCATTTGTTGAGTAAACTTCTTGCCATAATTCTGTTCTTTTTTCTTTCTTCTAGCACTTGTGTCCTTTTTTACGTGGTGGATGGTAGTAGTAATTGGTGCCGTAAGTCCTGAATGTAGAATGGTTCGCTTGTCAGTTCGTATTCTAATCTTGATTTTGTGCTCTTCGGAAGACACAGGACTCTCTTCAGATACCTTGGCTTAGCTCCCTCTAATGACAGCTATTGATATTTTCCCCCATATTAATTGTATTCCGTATGTTATAATTGGGTTAATGACTGCATGATATATTTTGATTGCTTATTCTAATGACAGTTTGTGGATATTTCTTTATTGAGTACATGGCTCTAATCACCGTTGCTGCATTTTCTCTGATATGCATTCTAAATGATCTGTCTGTTGTCTGACTTTTTATTCCTAAATATCTGTAATATTGAGCTATTTCGTGATATTTGTTCTTGAATTTTGTTGTCTTGATAATAAAACTTTTGAAAATGTTTTTCCGTTTCTCCCACGATGTTTCTACTTTGCAGCTGATACGACTAACAAGCTCCTGAGCGTCAACAGTCCCAACCTCCTGGACGAAGGCAGTGGCGTCAGAGACAAGCTCTGGGGAGAAATGCACGCAGGGCTAATGCAGAGGATCTTCGACAGAGTGCCCTTCAAAGTCATGTTCCCAGATCTGGATTAACCTGCTGGAGGTGAGAACTTGAAGATAGCATCTCCATAACGAATAGTCATTTTATTAACATTCTTGTGCTATTTTTTAGTATAGGTGCATTGCACCTAGGTACATCGTGCACGTCTATTCATTATTTAGAAAAAAATAATCCATGGAAATAGAAACAATCACCATTGACCCCTTAAAAATTGCTTTGACCCCCAGGGAGTATGCACCGATCCCGTTGGTGTAGTGGGATTACTGTAAATAGGGACCGTTTTCATAGCTACTGTTGACAACAAAACTGCAGATTAAGTCCATGTGCTCAATTTGTCAACGTGTTCGTTTGAAATTGACTCGTTCGTTTATGGCTTCGACCCTACTTCTTATAATGCGATCGTCCGACAAGACGTTCAGTTGTTTCGCGTTCTGTCAAACCGGTCCCTTCTTAGAGTAACTTCTCTATATGTGACTGGTAATGCTGTTAAAATCTCAAGAGAGCTCGGCCTTCGTCTCTTGTCTCTCTCGTTTCATTGTGGTCCACCACAATGAAAAGGCTGTCCATTCCCATTTCCGACCTGAAGGTCGCTGTCGGCTCTTTCTTCTCTGATTCGTCCTGCATAGCCCATGCTCTCGCATCTGCTGATCTCTATCTGAGCCTTCGTTGGGTAATACATTTATTAAATAAGAATTTACTTCTATCTAGTGTACTTCTAGGGTTATAAATAGTCTGATGTTTTTATTTATAGTATATTCCTATTTATAATAAATGGCATTTTTACTCGGGGAGGTCTAAGAGAATAATTTTTCCTTTTTTTACGTTTTTTAGGCAAACAGGAAATTTTACACTGCAGATAAGTCACCCCGAGGAAGAGTAATCACTTTTGCAAGATGGGATATCCAAAAAGTTACAAGACGTATTTTTTGAAGTTGATGATGTGAAAGTTTAATTACTTCTCGAAGAATAGTTTGTTGATAATTACGTTCCTTGATTTTAAATATTTTCAAATAGTTGTAAGGTAGGAAAGGAAATTTTTTATAAAAGGTTTTGATATATACAACCATTTTATGACAGGTAAATATAAATGCTTTAAATATGTGATTATAATTTATAGAATTTTGTGATTAACAACTTAACAATCTCTCACGCATTTCAGTGTTTTATTCTTTATTAAAAGAAAAATAAACGCTCCTTGAAGAATTACATCTGCTCATATGCAAAACAGGGTATATTTTGTGCTGATGATGGTTGCACCATGTTTAAAATACCAACTCCTTGTACGAAAAATAAATTTTATTTATGATATGATAAAGTCTATTTCATTTGGCATTGAAATCAGGTCGAGTGACTGGCAACTTCTTACGATATTTATTTTACAAGTTAAGCTAATTATACTCTTTAGCAAAAAAATACTTTTATTAAATTTATATTTGGCAGTAAAAAATATTACTTCAAAACAAGCGAAAATGTCCTGTATAGCCAAGTTTTTCCTTCTCTTTGTGACACAATTGATTTTCTGAAAACTCTAAAAACTCATGCCATTAACCTAAACGTATTTTCGACGATACGTCTGTCTCGGCTGAGGCTGTAATTAAATTATCTTCTGGGAGGCCCCTTGTTCAGATCTACTTTAAATGGTTTCATGATATTTTACTATAGAAGAAAAGCATCATCTGCTACTAAAACAGGTGGCATTGTGTGATTAAGAGCTCGCAACATCAGCCAGAGTGAATGCAGAATATCAATTTTGGTGAAAATTCCACGTACTGTTTGGGGGCCATTGTTCACAGATGCACGGAGGGATGGACGGAGAAGCATACGAATAGACAGTCGGACAGATGAAGTTCTAGACGGATGAACAGTCAGAGGGTCGGATAAACGGTTGGACAGACGGAATGGCAGACACTGACGCACGGACAGACGGTCGGAAAGACGGGCTGACAGATTGGAGGACTGACGGAAGGAAAGATGAACATTTTGCCGTCAATAAATTGTTCGGTATTAAGGACACAGAAATCATGGATGTGAATAAACGTGTTAGAGAAAGTAATTTACTACATACATGTAGAATATTTATGCTCATAATATTTGACGTTACCAGGGCCTGATAATGAGATTTTTTTGCCCCACGATCACAATTCTCTTAACTACGTAATGGAGAAAGTAATAATGTTTCTCTTCTCCCTGAACGCAGAAGGCTAATACAGACTGTTCCCCTCTGGCACAAAGCTGTCAACTACACTGACATCTCCGCTACATTCACGGGCAAACCTAGCTCTTGAAACAAGAATGCCGAAATCGGCGTTTTCAGACCTTTCCCGAACCATGTTTAATTTTTATACACCTTTTAGTATATAAATATGAAAACTAGACCTATTCTGTGGGTTTTATTTTCATTAATAAGCACTTTTGAAAATCGGAAAGTGCAATCAACGGAAGGCAAATAATCTCTTAGAGCTGGAAATGTACAGCGCCCCTAGCGGCTAAGAATGCTATGTTGCGTTATCTAAATAATCTTTGCTTTCTGCATACCGAATTTCTGACAGTCTCTCAGGAGTTGTCGAGTGTTTCGTGTGGCATTAATAGCATGTGCTCAAACTTAAAATTATTTGATCAATTTTTGGTGTTGTTTCATGGAGTAAATTCAATCAAAATGCAGTCATGTGTGGTCATGTGCTGGTTGAACTCAATGAAGTGCAATAATATTATAATATCAGTACAGTTTTAATATGCGGGACCATACCAGCAGCACTGATGATGTGCGAGTTGTGAAGTGATACTTTCTTTTCATGCGGTTCAATATTGTCTATGTGTAACCGCGTAAAATCGTGTGCACAACAGAATTTTCCCACATCCTAAGTTTTAAGCAAAGCTGAGATGTTCCCAGCAGGATCTTCACGTCTCTGAAGACCCATCGGAGCCGTCAAGTAAGTGTTTTTATATATATTTAGACAATCACAAAGTAATTTGTGAGGGAAAGAAATACTATTCCTTGCATTCAGTTAATACGTTGTTTTACGTCATGGTTACGTTCGAGGTGTTTGCCTTACAGGGAAGTTATGTCATGGTACAGCTCTATTGTGAGTTGGTCTAATTGTTGGTTATTGTTGGTTAGTGCAGGTACCCATGCAAAGAATACACTCAAACCCTGTAGAAAACGAAATGTCTTCTAGTGCTCTGTACGTTGCGCTAAAATTTTCCAGGGCCGGGGTACGCTCGGGTACATGTGCCAAGGCTCCTGCCCTCCGATTTCGGCCTTGCAATGCCAAGGAATTTAGTATAAATAGTACCGTGCATTTCAACGAAGGGAGTTCTCTGGAGTACATCGCTTAAATTTTGAATTTTTACATGTTTTTGAAAGTTATTATTAATTAATGAAAATATTTTAATTAATAATGAACCAATTTATTTAATTAATAATGAACATGTGCATTACACATGTTTACAAAAAAACACTTAATTTCATGTTATGAATGTCATTAAACATTGATTGTCTCGCTAGAATATTTGTAATTGATGGGAAAATCTTTTAGATTGTACTATGCCAAATATGCCCAATGTATCTTCATAACAAAGTAATGTTTTAAAATATTGTATTTTACAGTGATATCGATAATACTTGTTTCTAAAATTTATTCTGAGTGGTCAGTTTTCAAGTGAATAGTCCCAATGATATTACACAGAGCCAATGACGCCCAAATTATAACAAATATTTCTGATAAATTGAATCATATTTTGATCAAAAAGCGCGTTATAAACAGTCAGGGATTTTCAACTTTGTAAAGCAATTGACGCGCTCAAAAACAATCTGTTGGTCTCTGAGACCCCTCCATCTTGGTAATGCAAGGGTATAACATAGTGCACAACAACCTTGAGTCCACGCCACGCATAATTTCCAACGCATTTTATACCAGTAGTAATTTACATCGTAAGACAAGAATGTTGACCTTGTCGTGACGAGCCTGGAGACTTCACCCGCCGAAGCCGGAAGGTCGAGGCGGGGAACGCTGTCCAGTCATTAAAAGGGACTCGCCGTGTGATGTACAATTTTTGTTTCGAGACACTTTTTATGCACGTTTTCTGTAACTAAATAATATCGCTGACGTGAAATATTTAGTGTGGTTTTCATTTGATTATCTGCTCTGTTAGCATGGCCACATTATTCTTTATCCTTCTCTTTAATTTTGTTTATTTTGTAGGTGTTTTAGGTTTTTTTAATTTTAACGAGAATGTCAGGTTGTAAATGTTGAGTAACGCATAGAGCTAGGAATAGTACTCATAGTTCATGAAGTCACGTAACAGCAAGGACTGAATTTACTGCAATGTGGCTTCTGAACCTACTTCTTATCAAAACAAACTTTTGAAACCATGAATCTGACCACCCAGTACTTGACAGAATTCATGCTGTTTGTTGCCCTTGAGGATCAGGGTCTGTCTCTCTGCCGTGGAAATTTTGTTATGTGATAATCCTCTTTTATTAGAGCGAAACATCACATCCATAAACGAACTGTCCATAAATGAACTCATACATTTGGACTATATACTTTTAAAGAACCAGAAACTGTGCTTCAGCTTATGGATCAATGAGCCCCATCTCGAGCACGTTTTCGTTCAGATTCCCTCATTCTTAAGCAAATGCTGACATAGCCCCTTGTGTTGCTTCTGGACATAAATGTAACTTCAAATTCATTTCTCCCCGTAGTACGTCACATATAGTTTTTTAACTGATTTTGACGTAGGTAGAAATAAATATAAACATAAATATAGAGAATAATGTTTCATGGAGACTTGTAGTAAGAAAAAGGAATATACTTTTTTTTTAAATACTGCATTGATTCAATTGAAACCAGAAAAATACCACCCTCATAGAAAGATCGTTTAGGTCATAGGGTTTATGTAGTAATATTGCTATTCACAGCGTTGTTTACTAGCAATTGAATAGTTAATTCATTAATTTAGAACTCTGAAGATCATATTTCAACTCTTTTTCTATTCAGCATGCATGCAAAATCAGTTCTAATAGACAATCTGTACTGATTACTACAGTACTAGATTAAATCGCTTTAACCTAGCCTTTCAATACTGATAAGAATTATATAATTATAGGAGGTAAGCGAGAACATTTTGAAGAATTATTATTTAAGAATTTTTATTAAGTAATCCTAAAAGTAGTTTACGAAGCATCAGATACGAAGAGTATTATGCTTATATTAGAAATTATAGATAATACAGCATAGTTTCATAAAGTGTCTAATAATATCAACAAAAAATAAATTTTTATACACTTCTATGTATAACTCTTGTGAATGTGTCTCTTCATCCACTAATTCTTTCCATACCCAGCAATGTTATATCTATTGTCGCTAATTTTGAATTCATGTGATTTTCTAATGTTATAAAACTTGTATTGAGTGAAGAAATCATAAAAAAAGGTGTATCATTTTATTTGAAATTTCTTAGATTTTACTTTCCTGTATACGGAAGTATACACGTAGTGTAGGGAAAGGAATGTAATTCTGCCAAAAATTGCTTTCGAGTTATAATGGAAATACACGTTTTGGGGTCCACCTGATACCGAAAAAGTGGTTCTTTTCCAAACGTCCGTGAAAGAAATTGAAATTTTTTGACTTGTTTCTCTCACAAACTTAATACTTACAGTAGCGGCAATTTTTTGACATTATTATATTGATGAGTAATTGGAGATGTGCTTTAAATAAAGTCATATAAAGTTTCTCGAAACCTCAACAGTTTTCTGTAAAAACTAGCTAGAAATTCCACATTTTTAGCAAAAATAGCTCAAACGCCATTTTCTGCAAAACACATTTTTCCTTCAACCTTCTCGTACGGATAGTGCTAATTGCATTCTTTAATTTGACGTAAAATTCATTTTGGGATATTCTTTTGTTTTTTCAAACATTATACAAATCTAATTTTTTGAAAGATTTCACTCGCCGTTAATATAGACATTTCCAGCAAAATGAAAACACTACTGTATTTGTTTAAGTGCTTCAAACGACTTCTAATGATGTTTCTCGAAAAATCATTTTTTCGTAATTTTGCTTGGAAAATAATTAGTTTGGAAACAATTTTCATCAATATTATTTTTTCAAAAATTGCTCCAAATGTTTCCTTTACATTTATTGCCTCGTATGCAGCAATGAGTGACAAACAGTAGTGCTTTTATAATTTTCATTGAACCGTCTCCTTTTTTCGAACATTCCGAACAGCAAAACATTAACATTGTGAAGAACAATGAAAACAACGAAAAT